AAAACTCGGCACTGTTTTTTGACCTATCCTCAAATGAGACGTGATACACTCACCTTCTTCATGAATATCGAGTCAGTGTAGAGCTCTAACGGTAGAATGAGTTCATCCTTCAATTCGTCCTCCATACCATGTAGTTGCTTGAGAAGCCTCATAGTGTCCTCTGCATTTGTCTCCTAATTGGAGAAAACAACTCGAAGAAGAGATGGTAGACTCAGAGTAATCTTAGATATGCAGCTCGTGAGAAATTCTTACATTTTTCAGCAAGTTATATCCCTCCTTCAGTTTTTCAACGAAGCTATCCTCGATGAGGGCTTGCTCGGTTTCTGTTCGTAAGCTAAGAAGTATCGCTGCTCCAGCTGTGTTAGTCATAAATGCAAGTAGTACGATAACTCTCATCCTGAAACATAGTTGTGCTCAGTTAAACGTAACAACAAATTTTTTGGTGAAGCAATGAAAGCACTGAAGAATGGATAACGTTTGTAGAATCACTCGCATTTATATTGAGATAAGTGCTCATCGTTTGCATAACTGGCACTTATCACTACGAAAAACAATGGGTCTTTCTCATTGTTCCTACTTTCCGTCCGGAACAACATGCAAAATATTTATGCTTTGTTTCTTTCTTTATCACAGTGCTAATATACTATTCTCCAAATCCCTTATTTGCTTTATGGTTTGCTTCATTATTGTTCACGATAGACAGAACGGTCCACTATTGAGTGTTCAAATATTACTCCACCGTTCATTTGCTATTAGTAAGTACGAAGGTATGCAATTTCTTTTCTTTGCTCGTAAGTATGTTAAAAAACGCTGTTCAAATATATGTTTTTCATATACAATATATTTTATTTGATAGCTTTTATAGGATTTTGAAGATGACGACTTTGTAGCAGGGAAAATCACCATTTGCGGGAATTTACTCGGGTATTGTCAAACAAGGTTTTTTAAATTGCTTGGCTATGGTATCATTCAAATGCATATTTTCTTGCGAACATTTTGGTATACAGCTTGCCTATATTTTCTTCAAGATGGAGCTATCCTGTGAATAAATCCGCTTCCTACTCATGCACGAATGGTGCGTAGGTGAAAAGAGGCTAGCGAATCGATGCATAAGATTAATGGAGCTTGGAGCAAGCTTTATCTCAAAGCAAGTGCAGGTAAGTAGTGTACCAAAAATTTTACGAGAAAATGCTCCATTGAACGATACCGAGGTCTGGCAGTTCCATTTCAAAATTTATAACAAAACCAAAACGGCACGAACTTCGCAATTTCGCTGCATGTAACACTCGACTTCTTATTGCAAACGTCGATGGTAAGCGTCGCAAAAGAGATAAGGTGGAAGGTTTCAGAAGGTGATACCTTACTCGCTTTACTCGCCTAGCATTGCACCGTCATATTACCAAATGAAAGTTACAAATTTGAATTACAATGAGCAGGTCCAAAAAAAATGGCGTTTTTTCGGGTACGCAAGTTGTCATGTTCAAAGTCCTCGAGAAGCCATTATATGGAATATTTTATACATGAAAACACATAAATAAAGAACGTTTTCAAATGCATTTTCAAACAAGGAGAAGAAATGACATGTTTTTACTGTTATTATTTCAAAAAAAAAAACGGCGGAGTAATATTAGTACACCCAATACTACAATTTCGTCGAAATTTCATGTGTTTTTGATTCGTAGTCAAATTTGGTGCTCTTTGTTTTGTCAGTCTAGGCTGAAGCTATATATAAGTGTAAGACATCACAAATTTTATTCTGTGAAAGTTGCTTTTGAAAAAGAAGGCTTCGCTAAAATGTCGACATTTTCAGGTATAAGGCGAGCCAGGAAGTATTGCCGTTAAGAGAAATTGGTAGTATACTGACTTTCGTGAAAGTTACACAATTATTCGGTAAATATCGATCTTAAGATAATCGATCCTGAGTATTCAACTAAGGAATGTTGAAAATAAATGTTTGAACTCTCGCCAGAATTCCAAAAGAGACAAAGTCTTTAAATATTGTGTCACGCCACTTTCTCATTCACTTTACTTCTTTTCAAAGTTCATTCATGACGGCCTCCAGACTTGAGGTTTACTATGCCGATGGTTTATAATTTTATTTTTCTCATAAAATACATACACCGGCAATGTTTATGGTTCAGGGAAAGTTTTTTTTCCAACAAAATCCATCACCTATCTGCCGACATCGAAGAAATGGGATGCTGTGTTGGAGTGATAGCCGCAAAGTACGCTGTATGATGCAACAGTTGTACAGAATCTTCAACATCTTCCACCTATGCACCTGCAGTCTCAGGCTTAAATAAAAAAGAAAATTTTTGCAAATCAGGAGCAATTAAATAAAGAAAAAATGCGGCACCCGTATCTAACGCGACTTTTTTATTGCTTATTTGTGTATGAGAAAGTGCGATTTTCCACTGTCAATACTATAAAAAAATTCATTCCCCACACCAAGAATGTTGGTAATAGATTCTAATTCGCCTTGATGCTCGCAGGCACAAAGGAGTCGTTGATGAGGTGCCATCTGTTGTCCAATAGGACAATGGATAGTCTATTGCCAGTCATGCTCATTAGAGCGATATCAACCGATGAAGACGCGTCAAATGTTGCGTCTTGCACGATCGTACGAAAACAATCAGCAATACGAACATGTATGTTCTTCATAAAGGGAAAAAGATTTCCTCCATTCAGTAAGTCGTTTTGTCTTGTACAATCTGAATAAAAGGCTGTAAAAATCTTGAAGCGTATTTCCTGAGAAAAAGATTTTTGCACATGTATTTTGTGCAAATTTGAGCTTACGGTAAGCCCGTATTCTTGCGCATCGAACGATATATCAATTGTCTATACGCCTTTAGAAATGGAATTGCCCAAAGAAGAAATTCGTCAGCTGCTTCACTACCACTACAAAATGGGAGTAACGCTTCTGAAGGTCTGAGGCTTCTCTTCCCGAGTTTTACCGCCGCGAAATCTTTATTCTGCCGAATATATGGCTGATTTGTCTTGTTGAGGAAGAAGACTACTTCGACTATTATTTGTCTCTTGTTTAAGCTTGATTGGTGCGTGAATAAATTAATTGCATGTATTTTGAAGATGCGGCACAACTTTTTTTACAACCTATTACAAGAAAAGGGGCGCCGTGGCCGAGTGGTTGTGATGCTCGTCGCAGCGCTCGTACAGCCGAGCTCCACCCCAAACACTCTTCGACAGTCAACAAGAACGCCCCATAGATGCCACAGCAAGACTGTCCTCGAGATTACAAGAAGACATGCTCGACCAGATTCTACGTCATTCAGGAAGAAAACGGAAAACGAATCGAATGCTAGAATCACCAAGATCCGCAAAATTAAAATTGTGATGACGGGTCGTGTAAATAGAAAATGTAAAGAATTGCAAAGAAGCTGCAATGTAGTGTATCTGTTCATTTTATTGTCTCAGGATAAACGACACTTTTCATGTTCTCCTAGAATACATGGGAAATATGTCTTTTTTTCAAATCGGGAGCTACATGTATTCGACCTTGAAAATCTCAGCACTTGTCGAATTTGGTTCGTTACCAATCATCCAGCATCCTCAAAGGTGCTCAAATTTTCTTGGCTTGCCTTTTGCTGATATCTGAGTATTTCCGTCTTATTCAGAAATGTCATTGAATGCTGGTCAAGACGCATATCCCTGTAATCTTAGAAGAGTTGTCCCAGAAGGGTGTAATCTGAATTGAAGGGATTTGGCTCTATCCAGACATGTCTGGTACCAATTTCCAGATTTAAGTCTTAGTGGATCTAGTGAGTTGAACTGGCACATCAGTCTGATGGACTGTCAACGTAAAGAACGAGATCACTAGCTCAATGTTCAATGTAGTATGAAAGCTTTTAGGTCATTAACACAATTTTCTAAAACGTCAGGGTTTCCTGATTATCACCTTTCTAAGTTCGTCCTTTTGGTTGGTTCGTACCAGAAATGCGTAGATGCATGAGCAGGCCATGTTAGATTGAACTGTACAAGTTTGATATCGCAATCCATTTTTCAACCCCCTAGAGAAAGAGCCTTCACTGCTTTCTCTAGACTCTCGGTGCTCATTTGATAGCTTAGTTTGTGATGATTTTGGTGCTGGTCTTAGTTTGAGTAATATCTTTTTAGTACGTTGCAACAGCGAAAAAAGAATTGAGTTCAAAAGTCGGCGCGAATTATCGAGCTTGTTTTAGTTATTCAACAGGTTGGAAAAGAAAGTTCTGAGGCACTTGTAAGAATTTGAAAATATATGCATGAATTCAAAGCAGAAAGATAAAAACTATTGCTCAAAATAAATGCCGTTTTCCTTTCTTTCCTTTCCACGTCTCGTCTGAAGTCAAAGGGCATTTCCAATTCAATTCAGTGGAGCGCTGAGCAGTTGGCGGCAAATTTCGACTCTTTTGTATGGCTTGTGCTTCAGTGAGCTCGTGCGGATCTTGGCGTGGCTTCTTGTGCACAGAGTTAGGCTGTTGGAGATGAGTTGGCACAGTTGTACGAGAAGCATCAAGTTCGGTTGTCAATTCGCGAGCATTTGACGATGGTTCATCTTCCAAAGCAGCGATCAAATCTTCGTTGTTCGACTTTGTTGAACTTCCTGAACGAGGCTTACCTTTAAGGTCAAGATTTCTGGCATGAAAGCGATAGAACCAGTGTCTAGCAACAGATTTGCTTGTCTCTGCCTTCCCTCCAACTTCGTTGATTTCTTCGAATGCAGCTCGCTGTGAAAGACCCTTTCTCTAATAGTGACGTAATAAAACTCAACTCAACTTCGACTGATCGTTGGAATGGCGGAAGCTTGTAATAAAGCAGAAATAAAGACGAATAATAATTAGGTCTTTAATGGGAAAATCCCATTTAACAAACTGTAATTTTCCCATAATATGCATGGGAGTTATCTCATGCCTAATATAGTGCACGAGATCATTCTTTGCAACCCTATGCGTTAAAGATCAAATGGAATTATTTTTATTTCACCGCTTTAATGGTGTGCAAAATGGGCGTCAGTAGTGCAACGGCTTAGAGCGCGTGCTCTCAGATAGGGTGAGATATGGGTTCGAGTCCCGCCTGACGCGAAATTTCGCGCGTCACTCTACATCATTGGGTACAACCCTAAGTATTTGGAAAGTTTCCCTTCATTTCGTAAAAATTCCTATACTGTTTGCGTTACAATTGAACAAAAAATTTCAATCTATCGTTCCATGGATTTATGCATCCGTTTTATAAAAAGTGTATGAAATAAATTCCCAACTAAGCCGAAGCTTAAGCATTCTACGCGTAGAAGTATGGAATGTGATCTCCTTTTTGCTCGTCCACCTCTTTGTGACTTTTTCAGAAACCAAACAAAGCTACAAATCATCTAAATTTATGTTAACAAATAGCTATTAGGAGTCTGCCAGAAGATCATCCACGAACCCTAGCCGTCTCGGTGCCATTTGTTGCGAGTGTTGCGAAATTCCATCCACTGGCACTCTCACACCCTAGTCGAGCAATGGCAGCACGTTAACTCAATTTGATTTTCGCTGCTACTACGCACCAAATGGGCCCTCTCCGGGGACAGTGCACTGTTAGAGTTGCCGATATTCAGGTTTTCGAATTAACCCTAAACCCTTAGTAACGACTGTAGGAAAGGCCCTCAAATAGCGTTTTGAAACGCTTGCATTGATGACGTGACAGTTGCAGCGACATTTCTCTCCACTCTATTCTCCTCTGCCTCTATCTTATCAGTTGTCGCCTTCTTGAATGCTTCTATAGAAACTTGCCCTTATCTACCTGAACTCCAGCTTGATTGAGTTCACTAGTAGTGCAGTATTGATTGAAGTTTACTAATATGAATGCACCACAGATTTGCAAAAATCGTCCATCGTTAGTGTATGATTTATGAACGATAGTATTTCTCATGAAAGTTTTCTTATTAACTACTTTTAGCGCTGGTTTGATGTTACAAATATATATTCAATATAGCTGAGTGAAATACAGAAGATCGAACGTCTGGTGGGATTCGAACCCGCATTTGACCCTTTATCAAAGGCGCGTGCTAACTAATTCACCACTGGCACTCGTTCTGTAACGCAATTCTGTCGATTTATCAGCAATTAACCGCCAAGTGTTTAGCTTCTTTTTGTTTTGAAACAGGAGTGACATTAGAATTCTCTCCTATTTTGGTGGTTGTAGTGTTAATTTTTGTTCTCATGATTTAGAACTTTTGGTCAAATTGCTAGCCTAAAGCTTTATGCACTATAGCGGACGTATTTTTGAGAATCTTGATAAAGAGCAGGTGCTTTGAGTGTCTCATCCGTTACCCCTAATTATTCACTACAGAAAAACTCGTTGTTTTATTCATCTATTATCAATGGCTACCTGATTTTGTGGTCTAGCGAAGAAACTCTATGCACTGATTAGAGGGAAATTTTTTAATTTTTCCGAACAAAGCTTGATGAAAGGAAGATCAAGTTCATCAGGTCTAAAGTGAACCTTATCTTATACAGTGCCTTTAGATGAACTAGGGGAAGGTTTACAAGGCAAACACTGAAGACTTCTTTAAAGGTATTTTTTGCTAACCTAGCGATTTGTCAGTAATAAAAAAAAACATTGAAGAAGAAAGAGCTAAGTGAACACCCAAATCTCTGATGGTCCAGTACGTCACGCTACGCTACTTTCCATTTCATCACCGATCGTCTTTACCTTTCTAGCTTCTTGTATAAAATTTTAGTATTTCTGTTCACGCTGAGCTACCGTTTCGAGTGCATTCATTGTCAAATAGGGAGGTATGTGGAAAAAAATTGAGTGACCGCGATACGATCTGGAATCTGACAAGTGATGCCGGACCATCTACTGATGGCAGGCTCTACAAGCCCTCCAAACTCACATCGGTTGGTTTCGAAATAAGAGCTTTCTGATTGTCACTCCTCGTCTACCCAGTCACCATAAATCGCTGATGGACGATGATCAATTACTCGTTGCCACCGCTGTCCGGATTATAAACTGTCGACGCCATAACAGTGACGAGTCGTCACCGCAACCATTCCGCATCGGGTATTGTAACTCTGTCGTCCTTGTTGGTAATTCTATCTAACGGCTTTGTGACATCATATCAGTTGTTTCCTCGTGTTTAGATGGCGAGAACGGCGTTTCTGAGCTTTTTTTCTGTGTTTCCATCTCTCCTGGTGAAATTATCCAAATTAGTCCTCTTTGACTGTGTCACAATGCAAGTACATTATTTGAACTCCACATATCTGCAATTTGAAGCGTACACATACATCAGTTCAAAAAAACAGTGGCTTCACCGAAGGGGCTAGAGAATAAAAGAAATTTAGCACTTAAATTCAAATATAATCAACGAAATCTGTTGACTTCATTGTGAAGACTCTATGGGTCGAATGGGACCTTTTTGCAGATGAATGTGAGGAATAACTAAAAAGTCATTTTGTGGATCAATGCATTTCAATTAACACCATCCGCTAGCCGTGATTTTCTACTTAAAAGTGTGGATTATGCGAAACGAGACGACACTTGTCGCCCATCTTATTACAAATTATTCTAAGCCATTTCTATTTTGAATCCCATTAGTTTTTCTTGAGGTGCTACCATCCCATTTGTGTTTTCTTCACATCTGGCATCTAAATTATTATTTTCATGCAATTTTTTTTCTTTACAAAAATTCTTTCTTCAATCTTGTTGCTTGCTACTTCACTCTTGAGTTTTAATAATTTTCGCAAACCTATCAATGAGATTGTGAGAGCTTTTAGCAGTTAGCTACTGAAATTGGTACCAGTTTTGTGGGGGAATGTCACACTTCCCCACAGTTCAAATGATAGCGCTTTAACACGGCTATTTCAAACTCCAGGGAGGATAAAATCTTCCACCATTCAAGGATTTTTATAACGAATTGAAAGTCCTTAAGCAAGAGCTGAAGCGGAGAATTGGAAGGTTCTCGTAGAGGATGGATGCGAAGAAGTGATTCGGATATCACAAGTACTGCGTTTTGTACGATAGATGTGAAGACGAGTTATAAGAGGTAAAAAATAAAAATGCTATCTGTTGATAGCTACCGATAATGTTTCGGACTCACCATTCCTCATATCTTTCCTGTATTTACAATAATTTCAGATTATTAATAGCAATCACAGTAAAGAATAGTGTATTTTTCCTCTTGATTCGGTAACAACTTACTTTCATAAATCTTTTTTTTACCTACGCACACATCACATGTGTCCTGTTATGACGTCCTCAGCACTTCTTTTTATTCGTTTCATCGCATTCACCGTTAGCAGAGGTCTGCGAACATTTGCGTGTGGATTCATCTGTGCTTGAGGGCTTTTTCAACTTCGTCAGGAATGTCGTTAAATGCTCATCGATTCGATTACTCATGGAGTCCTAGAATAGACTCATGATAGAGCGTTCCCATGTGGACAGGAAGAAGTGAACTGCTTTCAAGCACATCTACTGTCATTTTTTCAACTCTGGAGAGAGAAAGGTTTTTATGGGCGACAATATGGGGCGAATTTTCATCTTGCTCATAATGGATGAACACTATTGTTGCGCTATCTGTGCCTTCAAATTTTATAGCCTTTGTAAAGTTAACAATGGGAATAGTCATTTGAGTACCATTCTGGGAAGACAGAATTTGATAAATTCAATAAAAAATAGTAGCTGTCGTTCAAATGTAGCCCGATTACTTTGCAGTTCTTAAACTCATGGGGCTGATTATTACAAAGTTTAATCAAAAAACAACTTAACAATTAATAAACTGCATTTTGAGATATCCAAATGTTCCTTTGTTGATGACTTGAAAATCATGAAATCACTCTCAATAATCCCAACTTCTCCTCCTGCCTTAGGAAGACTCCTCCAAAAAACCATTCATCGTTATAAATCGGCATAAGTTTGAGAAAAAATTTCATCATGCTAGCAAGTGATAGGGAACTTACCGAATGTAGTGGGATAATGGATAGGCATTTCTTATCAACAATACAACAAGTCACAATCAAATATTGCTAATTCGGCAGCGAAGACTCTGCAAAGTGGGGCTTTCGAGGACTTTCTGAACGTATTGCGTTCGGCATAGCCGAGAATTCTCCTGCTTCTTGTCCAGAAAGAATTCAATGACAGGTTTCCCAACCACGTCTCGCTGCTTGGTGGTGACGGAGAGCTGTTCACAGGTGAAGAGTCGAACCGAATCACATCCCTATACTGTAAATCACACCGTGGAAGAGCATTTCACTTACTAATTGAATTGCGCTGTCTCTGAAACGGATTTAAGCTTTGAATTGTTGAAAATATTGTTTTTGGAATCTTCCATTGCATCATTACGCATGTACGAACGATGATGAGGGGCTGGAAAACTGCCGGAAATCATTGGGGAACGGACTCGAGGATGGACGGCAGATGTTCGATGGGATTAGATTGAGTGGTTCGCGTTACGCCTCCCATAATTTCACTACCAAGTGACCGTTGCTAACCCTTCGCCGTTAGAATAGCTTTCTTTTAGGGTCATGGCTCTTCATATTTATCGACCACACTTTTAGCAATTGTTAACCACTTTTCGGCAGAATATGCGCATTGTTTTTTTTCACAATTTACAAATCAATATTTGTGAGTTATCGACAATTGTTTGCGGTGGCACTATCCGTTTTATATTCTATTTCACGTAGCATAAGTCATTAGTAGATTTCTTTTTTTCATGTTGTACCTCTTTACAGAAGCAGGATAGGCAGCGAATAAAAGTTGAAAATAGCGATTTTGACTATACGCTCAGCTAAATTTAATTCGATCCTGTGGGCTTTACGGATAATTCCCTTTGACGGGTGATTGTCGATCGTCTCGATAAAGTCAAAACATGGTTGAGAGAGATGTGGATCGAGTATCTTCATGGTATAATGGATAATAAGCGAGCTGCCGCAAAGGGTACTAGCGCGTTCCAAACGCCTCAGGTTTCAAGCTTTGCTCGTGCCTCGGCATTCTCGGAGTTCTATTTCACTCGTGCCCTGCCTGCTATTAAAAATGCACTGAAGGCCGTTTGAATTGGAAAATTGTCTCGTTTGCTTGATTCAGTTGCAATGGGTACCTGCCAATG